GGGGAACATTTGCATGGTTTCCAGTTTGGGGCTGTGGCGAGTCAAGCTGGTATGAACATATGTTGGGTCTTGACCTCTCGCGGGCAAATAGCTAGGAGTAGAATAGCCGGGACACAGGAGAGGTAGATACTTGACTTTACTAGAATCCATCAAAAGTTTCCAAAGTTATGTTATTTTACGCTCCAACCTGGCAATGAATGGGGTTCCAGTTGTTCCACATTCCAATCACAATGACGTTGTACCCGGTGTCCCTGGTGTGCCTGGTGTCGGAGAGGATGGCAAAGAATTTCCCTTCCTTTCCCTCCTTTCTGCTCCAACTGTGCTGTCGGCCCCTTCAATCTGATCAAACGCTGATTGATCCAGGAATACAGTGGGGATGGAGGGAGGGCAAGGGGACACGGGGCCTGTCTATGGGAGCGTCTCAAAGAAGTCAGTCTTTGCAAATGTTGGTGCATCGAGCAAGGTGCAAGAAGGAAGGGGGTGCAGACAGATATGCGGCCCTGGGCGCCTTCTACCCACTGGTGCCTGTAGGACCCTGAACGGCTCATGCTCGGCTGACCGCTGGGCCTCTCCCTGGCACACTGCAGGGGCCTGCTGGACTTCACGGCTCCCCTCCTCCCCACTCCCCTCACCCCGCCTATCCTGCTCGTCTCCTTCAGTCCATCACGTCCCTTAACTGGGTGCTAAAGCCAGGTAAGGACAGTTTATTTATTATGTCCTCCCCACCCCATGTCACCTGGAATGTTCTCTTATGTCCAAGACTTCTGCTGTCTCCCTTCTGAAGCCCAGAGAAAGGGAGAGAGGAGAAGAGCAGAAGGAGACAGAGGGGCTTGGGAGCTTCAGGGCACCACTGCACTCCGGGGCAACAATGTCCTTTATGACATACTCTCTTGAAAAACATTTCTTTCTACGTGATAATGTTTTTACACGATGAATAGAATTTTAAAGGGGAGAAATACTTTTTTGAGAACGTACGTGTCCTCATACAGCTCAGGCTGCCACTAGTGAGCTGTGTGACCTTGAGCATGTCCCTTAGACTCTCTGAGCCTCGGTTTCTCTGTGTGTAAAATGGGTATAACCAGGCCTTCCCACCACCACCACCACCAGCCTGGGCACAGGCATGTCCAGCCACACAGGCCCTGTCATGTAGCCCCACTGTGTTCTGGACACTGACCGAGCATGCTCAGGAGACAGGTACATACAATGGGTGGTATCGTCTAGAAACTCACTGTCATGTCAGTGTGGTCAGGCTCTTTGAACCTACATGAACCAAATATGATTCGGTCTGAGAGGGGAGGGGGGGGAGGGTCACTGGGGCGGGGAATGTCCACTTCCCTCTCTCCGGTTCCCACCCTTCCCCCTCCTTCCCGGGACTCCACCTTGTCTTTTTCTCTAGATCCACGTCCTCTTGCTCCTGGCTCCTCCCCATTGAATGACTGCCAAATTGTGTTGGTATCTATGTGTTTGTGAAGTCCTCCCCAGTACAGAGAACTGCCCAGCTGGTGTGAAAAGCAGCAGTGGCCACAGAGGCGGTGGAGAGATGGCCAGCAGCACCCAGCCTCCCTACGAGGACCCAGTGAGTCCCGGGCTGTGGGCATGAGGGCGGTGCTGGCCCAGGCTGAGCTGGCTGCCTCGGCCCCTGGGAGGAAGCAGTTCTGGGTCTCTGAGGAAACAGCTCTTGGGTGGCAGCATCCTAAAGAGACCACAAGAAGAGCAGAAGTGCCCGATGGGGCAGTCCTGACACAACGTCTGTCCCAGGCTGGTCTCCCCTGTGCCTCTCAGGACTGGAGGGCTGATAAGCGCCAGGACTCGGGCATTTGACGAGGTTGACTGAGCTCCCTCTGCGGGCCTTGTCCTAGGGGCTGGTGGAAGGTGGTAGAAGACAGGCGGGCGTAATAACTGGAAGAGGGATGTTCTGGTTGCATGAAAGTGCCGTAAACAGGACTTGTCGGGAGGATGACAACCCAGCATGGCAGTCAAGGGCACTTACTTTGGAGCTGGCCTTCCTGGGGTCAGCCACTTCCTAGCTGGATGGCCTCAGGCAAGTGCCTTTTACCTCTGTGGGCTTCAGTTTCCACGTCTGTAAAATGGGGATAATCTTGGGGCCCGCCTCCCAGGGTTAGGGTAAGGATTGAGGGAAGCAGCATCTCTAGAGTGCCGGAACATGCCTGGCACCTATGGGGGCTTTGGAAGAGTTTAGTATTGTTAGGAGTCTGGGCGCAGCAGGGAAGGCCTCCCGAGGAGGGTCTGCTCCCTGAGGGTGAGTTAACAAGGCGGGGCGGGTCAAGGGTGTCTGCAGGGGGCCCATCTCCGGAGTGAGGGAGGACAGGGGCTGTCCCTCAGTGGGGGCACAAAGGGCTGCCTTTGGCACCGTTTTGCCACACGTGTGGAGGCCCTGTCTGCAGGTGGTCTCGTTTCACCCCGTGAGGCTCATCATCCCCGTGTCTCACAGGGGAAAACTCGGCTCAGGGAGGCTGGGGCCACAGGCCAATGTCCCCGATGGTAAGAGGCCGAGAAGGACGGTGCCTTGATTTACCCCAGAGGAGGGGGGCGCCCACAGAGAGAGCGATAATGGGGAAGGCAGGCAGGCGGCAAGGGCCTCCGGGACAGAACATGTCACCCTGGGCACCGTCTCCGTCAGGTGTGGGAGCCCGGGGCTCCGTCAAGGCCCTGCCACTTTATTATTCTGGGGACTGGTTTTTACTTTCCAGTCCATGGATTCCAAGGCCAGATTGTTCCACTCAGAGGGACAACCCTCCTACGGGCAGCACGGAGTTCAAACAGGGCCTTGGAGTCGGGACGAGAAAAAGGATGGGTGCAATCCCCACAGGCGCCCGGAGCCCCTGGTGACCCCCTGACCTCCAGCGGTAGGAACCAGGCTGCTGCCTCCAAAGTGCGGCTGGAGGTCATGGGCCCAGCTGTTCTGCTCAGTCCCAGCCCCCTCAGAGGGCCAGGACAGAAGCTGCGACCACAGGCAGCACAGGACTTGCTGTTTGGTCCGGGAAGCACTTGGTGAGCCAGGAGCGAGGGTGTTCTGTGCTTCATCGTGAGAAGAAGCCTGTGTGGTGGTTACAAGCGTGGGTGCTGGGGTTCAAATCCCACTCTGTCACTCACCTGCTGTGTGGCTTTGGGCAAGTTCCCAAACCTTTCTGTGCCTCAGTTTCCTCATCTGTAGAGGTGGCACTAATCACGGCCTGGGTTGTTATGAGGATAATGAGATAACGCAGACAGGAACGTCGGCCACCAGAAGGGCCTCGGAACCTCTGGGGCAGCAGCGTCCTCTGGCGAAAAGCCTCACAGTGTCTCCTGCAGGTGAGCTCTCTCTGCCAGCAGGGCTGGGTGCCCTCTGGTGACAGGGGGCCTCCAGAAGGAGGCTACCCACCCTCTGGCCTGTAGGGCCTGGCTCTGCTGTCTGGACTTCTGGATAAGAAGGGAAGGATAAAGTTCTCAGGCTCCAGGCCCGGCCAGAAGCAGAGAGCAATTCTGACCCAGCACAGAGACTAATTCCTCCAGATGCAAACACCTGCCACCGTCAAGGCTGGCGAGCCCGGGGCTTTCCACATGGCTCTCATCTAGTCCTCTCGAGAACTCTGCCAGGCTGGTGCTCTTGTGTCGCTGCTCCACGGAGGGACCTGGGGTGCAGACAGCTCGAGTGACCTGCCCGACAGCAGAGCTGCTCACACAGGGAGCTGCAGGTGAGCCCAGGCCTGTGGGGCCATAAAACCCATCCTCCTGCTCCATAGGGAGCACAAGTGAGTGCTGTTATTTCCTGCTAAGATCCCTCACTCACACACACTCACACACACACGCACACACCCATGCACGTACACAGGTCCAAACTCCACAGCAGCCCTGGCTGGCCAGGCTTAAACCACATGAATCGGTCCTCTCACAGTTCTGGGGGTCAGTAATCTAAAATCAAAGTGTCTGGAAGGCTGTTTCCTTCTGGAGGCTTCAGAGGAGAATCTGTCTTCTCTCTGCAGGTCGTCCCCTTCTCTGGGATCATCCAAGGGGGTCTCCAGGAGGGACATTGCATCACTGTCAAGGGAGCCGTCTTAGCCTCCGGTGGAACCAGGTACCTGGAACTGTGGTTTCTCTGCAGCCTCGCCCCTTTGCAAACCATGGCACCTGTCCGCTCAGGTTGGTTCACCCAACACTCTCCGAGCTGCCTGCTCCTGGAGATGCCAGATGAGTGGGGCCCGGCCCCTGCCCATGCTGAATGGGACCACTGCCCTCTAACAATAGTGTGTGGGCCCCATTAACACAGACTCCCTGTAGACATGCAGATGACGGGAGCTCGCAGTCTAGGAGAGAAGCAGGCAAGCCAGAGACAGATGATTATTTACAGGGTTGAACTTTTCACCTGATGACTCAGAGGTGCAAAAATATCACTTCCTCTATTTCCCGGAACTGCCATCATCTACCTCGGAACCCTCACCCGGCTACTGGGGAAATACTAAAACTTGCCATCAAATGTAATTTGAGGAAAGTTCTCACACCTGGAGAGCTCACATTTATTCTATGCCTCCCCTTTTATTTTACTTATTTTTTGGTTACGCCTCCCCTTTTAGGCCTTGTCTATGTAGGTATATTCCCATCAATGTCACATGTTCTTTAAACTTGTTCTCTTCTTTCCCAATTGAGTACACGTGGGCCGGCCTCCAATGAGTGTCCACTGGGTGCTGAAGGCTCTTCTAGGCATGTTTCCCAACTTCTCTCTTTGACACAAATTTGTAATTACTTTCCAAGACCTATGCTTCCTGTTGCTAGCGTGAACATTTTTCTTTACCCAATTTCTACTTGTTTTTAGAAAATCACACTGTAAAGGCAAAATGCAATAACTGCACAAAAAGACACTAAGTGCTAATTAGGTGAACAGAAAGGAAGGCAACAGACTGAGGATCGCAGGTCCCTTGCAAGTTCTCAGACAGACTCCAGTCAAAGGCGAGGCCCTCCCGGTCCTGCCGTTGGCATGAGCCAGGCTACAGGTGACTGTCTGATTTCCCTCGCCTAGGTTTGCTGTGAACTTTCAGATTGGCCCCAGTGACAATGACATTGCCTTCCACTTCAACCCTCGGTTTGAAAGAGGCGGGTATTTGGTCTGCAACACGAAGCAGAACGGACGCTGGGGGCCGGAGGAGAGGAAGAAGCACCTACCCTTTCAGGAAGGGAGTCCTTTTGAGCTCAGCTTTCTGGTGCAGAGATCACATTTCCAGGTGAGCAGGAGCTCTCGTCCCCTCCCTCCCGCAGCCAGTCCCTTCAGCCCTCACAGGCATGGTGGATAGCCTTAAAATAATCACCCACATTGAGGTCTAGCTGAGCAACGCCATTAGACAGATAACAGGATCATTTCCTGGTAAGGGTGTTACTGATGGCTGCAGTCTCCTTACACCTTCACCTGCACCCACAGGGGCACCTGCTGCTTCTTTCACTCAGGAAATAAGAACAAGATAGGTCACCATGGTGTTTTTTGGCCTCCTGGGTGTTTAAAGTTGGAGTTAATTCTGTTCCTCTTCTGTAGCCATTTGTCCATCCAGGTCCCTGAGATCATTTCTTTTTCAGCAACATTGTTGCAGCCTTTATCCAAGTTCTATTGATGGCTTGGTTTTGCAAGGCATTGCAAACTGCTTTTGCCAGCAGAGCCGTGTCTCTGGGATTGGGAAGACTGGTCGGGGTGCATATATCTGTGTCTGCGCTTCCCTGAGTGAAGGCGGATGTTCCCATTCCCTCCACATTCCACCCGAGGTCGTCTCTCCTCTGTTCCCTATGAACACTGTGAGGCATATTTAAATAACACCCCAGGTGAGCCATGATCAGACAGACAAACCTACTGGCGTAAATGAACAACCGTGAGAACAAAAAGCCAACAACTAGAGCCAAGCAGAGATGAGTGCGGATGCCCTCTGGATCCCACGCATGTTCCTGTACCTGGCACAGCTCTGAAGGCTGGTGCCCCGACCCACAGGGATGGGTGTGAAAACCAGATGCAGGTCTTAATTTCTAGAAGCCAGGGTCCCATAGGCTCAGGTGTGCCCCCGCCCTGGCCTGGGACCCCTCTCCTGGAATGTGTGCTCGTCTTGGCAGGTGAAAGTGAACAGGAGCTTCTTTGTGCAGTACTCACACCGTGTACCCTTCCACCGCGTGGACACCCTCTCTGTCACCGGCATTGTGCAGCTGTCCTCCATCAGCTTCCAGGTCAGATGGTCCACCTGGCACCTGTCCCAGGGGTGGGGGCCGGGCCCAGTCTAGCTGTGCCCTGGCTCTGTTGGGTGAGCCCAAACCCAGGTGACTCTGGGGACTCACCTCCAGCTCCTGTGTCCCATCCTTCTGGTGTTGCCGTCTCTTCTGGAACACTTGCCCCCGTCTCCCAGACTCCTAGGCCACTCGTCTGTGTCACTCTCTATTTCCCCCCTGGTTAGGAGGCCATGTGGTTCCAGAAAGAACCCAGGCCTGAGAATCAAACTGAATCCAGCTCAGATTCCCAGTTCTGCCATTCTCATTGGCTGTGGGATCTTAGACAAGCGGCTTCCTCTCTCCCAGCCTCAGTTTCCTCATCTGTGGAAGGGGCATAGTCGCTGCTACCCCATGGGTTACTGTGTGAGGTGATATATGTCAGAGGCTGTAAAATGGCCCGCCTGGGCCCACACCAGGGTCTACTTGACCATTTCTGTGTTTTAAAATGTTTGAAGGTGTTGCCAACATATAAAAGGTCAGTAAAGGTTTATAAGATGAGAAAATTCTCGAGCTGGAAGGTGGTGGTGTATACACAATGGCGTTAATGCACTAGAGCCACTGAACTGTAAACTCAAAAACGGTTAAGATGGTATATTTTATGTGTTTTTTACAACAATTTAAAAAAATGTCAGGAAACATCACATGAAAATCTGGATTTCTAGTGTTTTCTGAAAACTGGAGGGATTGGGGTATGTTGGGCCCACATTCCCACAGGCCCCAGGAGGCTGGACTGGAGCTGTTGTTACCACTTTCGGTATTTCGTGTGCTCCTGAGATGGGGACAACACACAAAGGCCCTCAGCAAATATGAGCTCCTCTCTCTTAGGTCCTCATCTCTCATATTCCTCCCTATCCAACTGTCTCCCCTACAGGGGTGGGGGAGAGAGAG